GAGGAGTTCATAATCTTCTAGGTATGAGGATACAGTCTACATTACAATATACTAGAGTTTTAGGGAGGACATAGGTGATAGAAGATATAAGAGCTTATGATCTACTATGGTATGAGGGAGGATACAGAAGATAGAAGGGCTTACAGTCTACTAGGTTTATGATGGAGGGTACGGAAGGTCTTACAATCTACTAGGGTATGAGGGAGGATACAGAAGATGAAAAAGCTTATAATCTACTAGGGTATGAGGGAGGATGCAGAAGGTGAAAGAGATTACAATCTACTAGGGTATGAACTAGGATGCAGAAGGTGGAGGAGCCTCATAATCTACTAGGTACAAGGATACAGAAGTGGAAGAGTTTACAATCTACTACGGTATGAACAAGGATACAGAAGATGAAAAAAGTTTACAATCATACTAGAGGGAGGATGATAAAGTGGAGGAGCTCATAATCTTCTAGGTGTGAGGATACAGTCTACATTACAATCTACTAGAGTATTAGGAGGATATAGGAGATAGAAGATATAAGAGCTTACGATCTACTATGGTATGAGGGAGGATACAGAAGATAGAAACAGGGCTTTCAAATCTTACTAGGGTATGATGGAGGGTACGGAAGGTGAAAAAGCTCACAATCTACTAGGGGTATAAGGGAGGATGCAGAGGTGAAAGAGATTACAATCTACTAGGGTATGAGGGAGGATGCAGAAGGGGGAAGAGATTACAATCTACTAGGGTATGAGGCGAGGATGCAGAAGGGGGAAGAGATTACAAATCTACTATGGTATGAGGGAGGATACAGAAGAGATAGAAGGGCTTACAATCTACTAGGGTATGATGGAGGGTACGGAAGGTGAAAAAAGCTCACAATCTTCCTAGGGTATAAGGGAGGATGCAGAAGGTGAAAGAGATTACAATCTACTAGGGTAGAGAGGAGGAATGCAGAAGGGGGAAGAGATTACAATCTACTAGGGTGATGAGGGAGGATGCAGAAGGGGGAAGAGATTACAATCTACTAGGGTATGAGGGAGGATGCAGAAGGTGGAAGAGATTACAAATCTACTATGGTATGAGGGAGGATACAGAAGATAGAAGGGGCTTACAATCTACTAGGGTATGATGGAGGGTACGGAAGGTGAAAAAGCTCACAATCTACTAGGGTTATAAGGGAGGATGCAGAAGGTGAAAGAGATTACAATCTACTTGGGTATGAGGGAGAATGCAGAAGGTGGAAGAGATTACAATCTACTAGGGTATGAGGGAGGATGCAGAAGGTGGAAGAGATTACAATCTACTAGGGTATGAGGGAGGATGCAGAAGGTGGAAGAGATTACCAATCTACTAGGGTATGAGGGAGGATACAGAAGATGTAAGAGCTCAGCTCACAGTCTACTAGGGTATAATAGAAAGATACAGAAGATGGAAGGTCTTACAATCTACTAGGGTATGAATGAGGGTACAGAAGATGGGAGAGTTTACAATCTACTAGGGTATGAGGGAAGATGCAGAAGGTGGAGGAGCTCATAATCTACTAGGTACAAGGATACAGAAGGTGGAAGAGCTTACAATCTACTAGGGCATGAGGAAGGATTGCATAAGGTGCAGGAGCTTATAATCTTCTAGGTATGAGGATACATATGGTGGTGGAAGAGATTACAATCTACTAGGACGATGAGGGAGGATGCATAAGGTGGAGGAGCTCATAATCTTCTAGGTACAGTATGAGGATACATTATGGTGTAAGAGATTACAATCTACTAGCGTATTAGGGAGGATACAGGAGACAGAGGTCCTTAAAATATATTATGGTATTTTGGAGGACACAGAAGGTGGAAGAGCCCCATCACTTGTGTTTTACATGGATACTAAAGTGGTGTTTTAAACACACATTATATAGGCAAGGTCTACTGCTGTTCTTATCAAGGCAGCCAAGCTGAGAAATGCAATGTAGGATTGCATGCAGAAGGGAAGTGACTACAACAAGGCTTAAGGAGATCAGCTGCACTGATATGCAACAAAAGGATTTTATTAAAAATCAAATATGGCATTAGTTTATGATACACAAGTACTTTTGCAAATTAAATGACATTAATTTTTGAAGAATTATATGTACTTTAATATTAATTATATGTTATGGGAGTATCAAGTAGCTTGTGCCTTGAGGAAAGACTCTGCTGGGGGACAAGTTTTAGCAAGTGCCTTCCTGCTAGAAGTGCGATCTCTCTAATCTCTGACTACCATCTTACATCATAATATAAAACCTATACTTTTATAGTCAGAACTGAGATAAACAATTAAAGAAGAACTCCAGTAAGCACTATGTAACCTGGTAGTATAACAACACATTCTGTAAAACAACACTCGCTGTTAATGGGATCATTCTCCTTGCTTTACATAACCATGTGGAAGAATTAAACAAAGCAGGAGCTGAGTGTGGGCAATCAACACAGAAGAGCTGACACTTGGAGGTCCTTTGACGGTTAATAAGCAGCATATCAGCATATATACACAATACAGTATATTAGAGCTGTGGATAAGGGGGTCCACCAGTCCTCCTGTACAGGGCCCATGCCAGCAGGGGGCGCAGGCAGCTGGGTGAATCATATGTGGGCGAGGGGGGGGTGACAATTACTAGAACCGATCCCCTGTATGACTCTCTCTGCAGCAGCTGAAAGCCAGTGGGGGAAAGAGAGGAGAATCCAGCTTTCAGCTGGGTGAGGTTCCCCCTCACCCACCACACCAATCACCCTCCCTGTGCACATCTGATTCACCCAGCTGCCTGGCTCCCCTGCTGGTCTGGACCCACCTTCTGGTTTGAGCCTCCACAGTGCCGGCTTCCCTCCTCTCCTCCTCACCAGTAGCTGTAAGCACACAATAAGATCCTTCCTTTCCTGAATGAACACAATGAGTGATTGGTACTGATCACTTACTGTTTTCATTCATACCAGAAGCATAGTAAACTGTGTTTTTTTTTTAATGGGGTCCTGTCAGGTTGGTTGTATGGGGCCCTGTGGCTTCTAAAGCAGCCCTGCAGTATATTCTCTTTAAAGCAGTATTAATCCCTAAAACAAAATGTAGTATATTGCAACTCACCAATCCTGAAATGTAGTGGCTGGACTAGTTTTCTTTTTTTTTTACTTTTTCCCTTTATTTTCACCTGTTGATCTGACCAGTAGTACCCTTCCTGTCTCAGGGTGTCTGCACTCTGGATAGAGGAGCAACTGAGACATCTTTGGTCAGCAGAACTGGTAATCTGGGGAGAGGATAGTGTTGAATGGATTAGCTGATTTAGAAGGATTTGACTAACAAATTAAAGCTGAACCTGAGATAACACTGTTTAAATCCTTTTGGGATAATGGTTTTACATAAACGAATAAAAGCTGTTCATTGTAAGCACCCGTCAGTGGTAAATGGTTTGACTCAACCCTTTAACTGTCACTTTTTCTGGACAGCTTGATCGGGTAAAGAAGTTAAAAAACAACAGACTTAATGGCTGAATCCGCAGGTGGAAATAAAAGAAACTAATGCAGATACTGCCAAAGAGCTGTGCAGGTATTTAATGAAACTGTCATAATGTCTGAGAAAAACCTTAATAATGTATTTACTCCTTCCCTCCCTTCCTTCCTTTCTTCCTCCTTCCCTTTCTGTTTCCCTCCTCTCATCTTTATTTCCTTATTTCTTTATTTTCATCCCTAATATTTTCTTCTTACTCTCTCCTTCCCTCTCTTCCTTTCATCCTTTCTTACTTTCCTTCCCTCCATCCTTTTCTTTTTAACTTTTATCCTATCCTCCCTCCCTTTCTTTATTTTATTCCCTATTTTTCCCTTCCTACTCCCTTCTTCCCAATAACTCTTCCCTTCCATCCTTCCCTTTCTTCCTTAATTCCTTTGTCAATTTTTCCCTTCCTACTCTCTCTATCCTTTCTCCCTCTCCTTCCTTACTCACCCCTACTCTTCTTTCCTTTCAACCTTTCTTCCTCCCCTCCTTAATTTTCTTCTTTTTCTTTTTCTTTCTTTCTTTCTTTCTTTTTCTTTCTTTTCTTTTCTTTCTTTCTCTCTCTTTCTTTCTTTCTCTCTCTTCTTTCTTTCGTAAAATCCCTCATCCCATCCATCTATCCTTTCCTTACCCTTTCATTTTATTATTCTCTCTTACGTCTTGTCTCTCCCTTTATATTTTCTGTCTTTTTTCTTTCACTTTATTCCCCCTCCCTCTAACTCTTTCCTTCCATCCTTCCCTTTTTCTTTAATTCCTTCTTCAATTCTCCCTTCCTACTCTTGCCTTCCTCTCTCTCTTTCCTTCCTTACGCACCCCTACTCTTCTTTCTTTTCAACCTTTCTTCCTCCCCTTCTTCCTTAATTTTCTTTCTTTCTTTTCCCTTTCCTTTCCCACTCTCTCCTTTCCTCTTCCTTCTTCCCCTCTCTTTTTCTTTCTTTCTTTCTTTTCCCCATTCCTTTCCCACTCTCTCCTTTCCTCTTCATCTTCCCCTCTCTTTCTCTCTCTCTCTCTTCTTTCTTTCTTTCTTTTCCCTTTCCCACTCTCTCCTTTCCTCTTCCTTCTTCCCCTCTCTTTCTCTCTCTCTCTCTCTTTCTCTCTCTCTCTCTTTCTTTCTCTCTTTCCTTTCCTTTCCTACTCTCTCCTTTCCTCTAACTCTTCCTCTTCTTCCTTCTTCCCCTTCCTTACTCCCTCCTTCCCTCTCCTTTTTCTCTCCTTCCTTCCTTAATTCCTTCTTTTCATCCCTAATATTTCCTTCCTGCTTTCTCCTTTCCTCTATCCCTTTTTTCCCTTCCTTCCATCCTTCCTTCCCTCCCTCCGTTCCTTCTTTATTTTCATCCCTAATATTCTCACCCTACTCCCTCTTTTCCTCTCTCTCCTTCTTCCCTTCCTTTTTTCCCCCTCTATTCTTCTCTTTGTAAAATCCCTCATCCCATCCATCTATCCTTTCTTTACTATTTTCTTTTTATTATTCTCTCGTACTTCTTGTCTCTTCCTTTATATTTTCCGTCTTTTTTCTTTTTCTTTATTCCCCCCCCACCCCCTCTTCTCCCTCTATCTCTCTTGATCCCTCTCTGCAGGCAGTCCAGGCTATGCAGCAGTTAATTCATCCCATCGATGATATTCATTTTGCCAAGGAGGAGGATGGGAGCAGGATGGAACTGTCCCAGCTCCTCAATGAGATCAGGAGACACTATGAAGCTCTCATCACCAGTAGTCACATCCCCTGCGAGCTGTCAGCCAGGAGCCAGGTAAGTGTCCATAGCCGGGCACCTTCCAGGACAGGGCTGCAGAGTCATTGCAGGCTGATTGTCTGCTCCTTCAGTGCAGGGATTGTTGGGGAGGGAGCGCCGCTAGCATTGCAGATAAACTGGAACTATAATGTATAGATAGATGTGTGTGATGCTTACACAGCAGGATGCACCCAGCATGCTTTGCAACATTTATGATCAATAGCATTATCACCCAAATAACCGTATTAATGTCCTGCTTTCATATTCATCCGCTGATGGAGATTGAGCAGAGGCCTAAAGACTCCTTTTTAAAAATTAATGACATTGAGAATATAATATATTGCTAATTGGCTTGCATAGCCTATTGATACTACATCTATTCCAGTTATCATTTTAATGCACTATAGTTGCCTCAGTGTATTTTTAATTCAACCTCTTTAAAGGAAAAAGCCTAGATGTCTGGCTGTCTTTTGTTTCAGTTCTTTTTAGGCCTTTGGTCTAAAGCATAGTGCATCTGGAGTGAGAATGCATAGTTCTACTTCTTTTGTGATGCTGGATCAGCATGACAGCCAGGCAACTAGCAATTTGCAGCCAGATGGATAAGTATTTATTTTTACTTTTAGGTACACCTTCTATATAGATATATATTATTTATATACAGGTGGGCAGCTATTTTTTTTAAGTGGAGGAAAGGGCAACTTTTTTTGTTTTAGTGGGGAAGGGTTAAACCCTTTGTCAAGTTTTTATTGCAGTGTGTGTTCCTTTACATATGATGCAATTACCTACATATACAGGGTGTATTTCAATCTTAGTAGTGCTAAGATGGAGGGAAATTATCTATACATTTCTATATAGAACTTGTAATATAGTAAAGCTATGTAAAAATGTGAAAGTCAAAACCAAAACTGGACAAGCAGCTAGATAGACAGGTCAAATTCAGATATTTATATAAAGAAGACTATTTACATATTGCACATTCACATCAGTCCCTTGCCTCAAAAAGCTTTCAATCTAGTCCCTATCTTGCATACATATATACGTGGAAGAAAAAAAAGCAGCCGAATGCCTGAACTCCTGTGCTGGACAGTGGACTCCACAATGTCTGGATCCCCACATGGAGTATGGAAGGAATGCAAGCTTTGCTGCCCTCAACGGACCAGGGAAATCCAAAAAGAACTGTATATGTAGAAACAAAAAGAGGGCGTACGGGCCTAGTTCATTACCTTTAAAAAACAAGATTTATTGACAAAAAGTAAAATAATCACAAAGGAATAAAATCAGCCTCTGAGGAAGAGGCACAGCCTCAAAACGCGTCAGCCAACAGCCACCTAGAGGTCTACAGTCCTCCACCAGACATCGTTCAGGGTGATTGGACCACGCTGCATTTCTTGTGACATGCTCTCCATTTGATTTTATTTCTTTGTGAGTATTTTACTTTTTATCAATAAATCTCGTTTTAAAAGGTAACGCACTAGGCCCGTGCGCGCTCTTTTTGTTTCTTCATATACAGTTCTTTTTGGATTTCTCTTTTTGTTTCTTCATACATATATACATATACTAGGGCCCATTAAAGTAAATTTTAAAACGACTTGTTCAGTTTAAAATAGAAATGAAAGTCAATACATTTGTGTATAAAAAAAAATTATAAATATCTTTTTTCCCTTTTTTATAAGTGATCACATACCCTCTGTTCTCAGCTAGCTAAGTAGCTTAAAGAGCTGGGGGTGGAGAGACAGCAGCACACTGGACTTTTCAGTGAATGGCTATTTGGGGGTGGGAGCATGTCAGTACAAGTATGATCATTGGAGAGCAGCATAGCTAGAGAACTGATCATGCTGTGCTCTCCTGCATAGTGTGGTCAGTTTTTAACAGGAAAACAGAGGGACTGGCAGGAGCAGAGAGCAAGATACTTTTTCATACAAGTACACAGTAAAGCAGGCACATATCAGGTATATAAAATGTTGGATTGACATACTCTTTGACCTACCAGCATGTCTTTGAAGTGCAGGAGGAGGTTGGTGAATACCCACACAAACACAGGGGAGAACATGCAAACTCTATGCAGATAATGTCCTACTTAGGATACCAACCAGAGATCCTAGTGCTGCAAGGCAGACGTGCTAAACACTAAGCCATTGTGCTGGCCAGTAAATATACAATTTTACCTGCACAAGGATTTGTAATCCAATTTAGACTCTATCAGCTCATCAGCAGAGACTGATTAGCTGCAAGCAGGGCCGGGCCAAAGAGCAACCAGTGGACCAGGACTTCATGCCTCTGAATGCAGAAACAAGTAGGATCCAATGAGCTGCACTTCTGATAAATCATCTGCTACATTACAGTATAAAAAAAGCCACAAAGAAGCAAGAAAGGACACTATGGAGGCAGTTGTACCACGTTTTTCAATGCTAAACATTCATATATGTGCAAAATAAATTTGCACCGACTTCAAAGCATTTCATGCACTACTTTGGTCTGATATTCATGCAACTCCAGGGCCTTAGAGTTTAATGTTAACCCCCAAAAGTTGCAGGAAAGTCATACCTGAATGTTTTACATGCAACATTGGTGACACAGTGGGTCCAACCTTTCAGAGGGACAAGTCACATCCAAGTCACACCCATCCAAGGTTGCACCAAAGTTGCACTCCAAAATCATGCAAATTTGGAGTCGTACAAGTGTGAATGGAGCCTAAAGGTGGAGGGAATGTCTTAGAAGACCCACCTAGAGCGGCTGCATATCTTTGTTCATGTCTCTGAACTTGTCCTAGTATTGGCTGCAGGTGATGCCTTCCATCTTGCAGGCTGAGTTCTGATGTACATGATATTATATGAGTGTCATGTGTTCCACCGTGATTGAGAACACCAGTATTTTAAAGCAGGGGAACACCAAGGATTGAGGCTAGCTTTAGGCACTGGAGGGTGGCTGGAACACAATTAGGTGTGGTTTGGGCTTTTTATTTTATCTCGTTACTATATTATCATTTTTTACATTTAATGAGATGAACCTAGACGATGTATGACCTTGGAATTATATATCTCAATGCTGCTAGAATTGGCATGTTTGATTGATTTTATTTACTTTTTTTACTAAATAATTCAGTTTAATTGAAACAATAATGTTAATGTCTTATTTTTATTTGTTTTACATGATTTTATTTTTGTCAAGGCTGATGGGGAGGTGGGCTTGGGACAGTATCTATGACGAGGCTGTCCTTGCTGCCCAAGGTGGCCTTTGTTTTGTTACACCTTGGGAACATTGGGACCTGTAAAATGTAAAAATAAAGGTGTCTTGTTATCCACAGCAATCTGTGGATACATCACGGTCGGTTGATTTTCATTTATTTTATATTATAGAGAATGTTCTTGATCACGTAGAGGTGGCTTAGTGGTTAGCACATCTGTCTGCAGCACTGGGGACACTACCTACATGGATTTTCCTCCTGCATGCCAAAGACATGCTGGTAGACTAATTTGCCCTAGTATGTGTGTGAGATGGGGACCTTAGATTGTAAGCTCCTCAAGGGCGGGGACTGGTGCGAATGCACAATATGCAAAGCGTTGTGTAGATTGTTGATGCTATTTAATTACCTGTAATAAAGGAACAGTCATAACTTACAGAGGGACAGAATAAGGAATTATGTCTCACTCCTGACACATCTCACTTACTTGTTGTTCTCTATTCTCCGAGTTCAGTATGCATACTTTCGGAGATTCTTTAGTGGCTACATGCATGTCCAGATAGATTTTTTATTAACTGCTGTAACACAACCAAATACAGGATAAACCCCCTACAAGAGAGACCTGAGTTACTAAAGCAAACATTTAATTATTTAGTTATTTTCATTGTTCAGTCAAAGTGGAAGTTTAATCAAAAATCTAATGCTAAACCTACTCTCACCCACATTCTATGTCTAATCCATCTAACACTGGAAAGAAAAGATTGCTATACATACCTTTTCTGAAGCTGCTCTGGTCTGGTCTTCAGCCACGGCTTCTGTGTAGATGGAGCATTTACTGTCAGCTGCCTCTGCTCTACACAGAAGCCTCCACTGACAGCTCAGCATGGGACCGGACCAGAGCGGCTTCAGAATAGGTAGGTATAGCTATCTTTTCTTTACATGGTTAGATTAAGTTTAGAATGTGGCTGAGAGTAGGTTTAGGTAGGTTTTGACTAAATCATAATTGATAGCATAGTAATAGGAAATTTTGTCAACATGAACCATCACAGTCTTAAAAAGAATACAGTGGTGGAACTGACTACTGTGAGTTATGTGTAAAAATTGCTATGCCATATAGTACATACCACTAGAATGCCTGGTAGAGGCAGTCTAGAAAAAACCCAATTCCAAAGACAACACAGACAGCATTATATACCCAACAGTAGTTTTAACCCTACCCAAGATATCCAAACTAGAAAAAAAATGTGATGGCTGTTGCTAAAATCAGACAAGTTTATGATGTCAACAACATAGATAGTGTGGAAGTGTGTGGTTCATTATCAGATGATAATTTTAGGTGTCACCAAGATGAAGTCAACAACACATATAGTGTAAAAGTGCGTGGTTTTTCATCAGATGATGATTGTAAGAGTCATCAAGTTGATGTTGGCCACATGTACGGTGTGGAAGTGTTTTGCTTCAACAAGCTAAACACTGAAAGTGGGATTTCTATAACTGATCCAGTTGCGGCAAAACAGCTGTAACTTACAGTCTACCTCTAGAATTAGCAGACAGTGACTCAATCCATGCAGATCGTAGAAAGCTTTTTAATCCAAAAACCTGTGAAGATCATAACAGATCAACATCAGATAGGTCATAAAAATAATAGTGTGTCCAGCTCCAGTAGAATACAGGACATATGGTGAATGGACACTAAGCAAGAAGAGTGGGACTATATAGAGCCTCCTCTAACTATGGAGTGAGGAAAGGACAAAAAATATTTAAAGGCAAATAAACAACAATGCATGTGTGTGGTTCTAGATCAGGTGATGATTTTAAGTGTCATTAAAATCCACATGGAAAGTGTGGAAGTGCATGGTTCATCCATCATGAGATGATCATTTTCAAAGTCATCAAGATGATGTTGACCACATGGTTCTAGATCAGATGATGGTTTTAAGTGTCATTAAGATGATTTTTACCACATGGACAATTTGAAAGCACACGGATCGTCATAAGATCATAATTTTAGGTGCCATCAAGATGATGCAAACCACCTGGATAGAATGAAACTGCATGGTTTGTAATCAGATGATAATTTTGAAGGTCGTCAAGATGATGTTGACCACATGGATGATGCGAAAATGCATGGTTTGTCATCAGATGATGATTGTGTTAGCAAGATGATATTGACCACATAGATAGTGTGGAAGTGTGTGGTTCATCATCAGCACACCAAATTGCTTGTCCAAAAAAATTTAAATGATGACATAGCAGTAACATTTTGGAGCAACTAAGGAACTCCATTAGGTATTAAGGATAATATTGCTGTAAGACGTTCCCCTGAGGACTCTCCACTGACTCATGCATAGTGTTTCTCTAGAATGATCTGTCTACCATTTGGGTCTTAAGTCTTCACAATGGCATGTTCATACTTTCCGTGACCATATCAGTGACCTTATTGCTGGTTGTCCTCATCTTTTTCCTTCAAAATTCCCAAGTATAGCCGTCTTTTCCAGTGAGCTTATTTTCATAATATGTCCAAAATAAGACAGTTTCAATGTAGTAATTTAGTGACCTTCTAGTGAAAGGTTGGACTGGATTTGTTAAAGGATCCATGGGAGGAAAAATTTTATATATTTAGGATCTAAAAGGTGCATAGGATCCATGCTTTCCTAGCTGTCCACAATATACTTAGAACTATTAGCCTGCCCTACATCAACGCATCAAAGCATCAATACTTTTCCTGCTTCTTCATTGTCCAGCTTTGACATCTATATAGAGTAAAATACTAAATACCATAGCCTGGACAATTCTGACTTTTGTACTTATAGACACATAGGTACTTTTTGAAGATCTTTTCAAGGTCTTTTGTCCTTCGTCTAGTTTAACAGAGCTGCAAAGTCCCACGGGCGTAACAGCATTGGAACTGCCTGACCATGCAAAAGCAGCAATGTGTTCTGCTTCCTAGTTTCTGTCTATCCTGACAGGTACCTTTCAATCAGGTGTATGGATTAGTGGTTGCCCGGAAAATCTACAGCAATAATACCTCTAGGAAGTTTCTGATCAAGGGTGTAACTATAGCCGCAGTAGACAATGCAACCTGTATGAGGCCCAAAATAGTGACCCATAACCAGGATCGAGGATAAGGGGGTACCACCAGTCCTCCTGTACGGGGCCCTGGCCAGCATGGGGGCCCAGGCAGCTAGGTGAATTGGATGTGGGCAGGAAGGGTGATCGCCACAGCAGGGAAGGGGGGCATTTACTGGAACTGATCCCCTGTATGGCTCTCTCCTTAGCAGCTGAAAGCTGGCTTCTTCTCCTTTCCCTCCCACTGGCTTATACCTGCTAAAGAGAAAGCCATACAGGGGATCAGCTCTAGTAACTGCCCCCTGCCGCATCCACCACCCTCCCTGTGCAATATACATTTCCTCCTGCTTCCCCCACAGTGCTGCCGCTTCCTTCCTCTCCATTCCACTGACAGCTGCAAGCACACAATAGGATCCTTCAGGATGGAGAGTAGGGGAAGGGTCCAGTAAATATGTCAAATTTACCAGCCCCTTCCTTAATGAACACAATGAGAGATCGGTACCGATCACTCACTGTGTTCATCCATAACTGTAGTAGTAGATTGTAAGCTCCAAGGAGCAGGGCCCTCTTAACCCTCTTGTATTGAACTGTATTGTTGCTGTATTGTCTCCCTTCATATTGTACAGCGCTGAACAAACTGTTGGCGCTATATAAATCCTGTATAATAATAATAATAGTATAGTAAACTGTGTTTTTTTGGGGGAGGGGCCCTGTCAGGTTGGCTGTATGGGGCCCCATGGTTTCTAACAGCAGCCCTGCCCATAGCTCTCTGTCTAGCTAGGAAACTATGCGGGTAACAATAAAACTTGGCAAATACAATTGAATAAAATATAAACTGGAAAACCATATATGGTTACTATGTTACTATGAAATTAATTAAGGTTTTATAACACTAAAGGAGTTGCCCCTAATGTTTTGTTAAGGGGCCCTTTTGCAGATTTTTGGCCCTGTTTCCGATAGCAATAACAAAAAATGAATGGTGTCCCCAATTGCACCTAAACACCTGTTTCCGATAGGCCATTTCATGTCATACAGTACAATTATTACCCTGAAGAAAATGTTTTCTGAAAAAAAAAAACAGCCTTGCTTTCTGACCCGGGAACAAGAATATACCGTTTTGAACATTTGCCTTGACATTTGTATAAACTGATAAACCTTGGCAGACTTCAAAAGACGTCTGATCCCTGGGAATAAGAATATACCTGTCATCTGTCACTGTCCAATTCTGCCTGTCACATACAGTATTATTACTTGACCTACTGTACAGAAAGATCATTTACATTATGAACCTGTCATTTGATTTCTCTCTAGCTGGAAGAGGAGGAGGCCAGGCAGAAGATGCAGAAGGATGAAGAAGAACTGAGGGCTGCAAGAGCCAATCTGAATGAAGCCAGGAAACAATATAAAACCCTTCAAGTTGAGATTGAGTCTCTCCAAGCCATGGTAAATCCTTAAATGATAACATGTACTCATACTAGTGACACAGGAAGTATTGTGGGCTTTGGATCCTTTATTTTTTTTAATTTTTTTTATTTTGTTTGTATCTGTTAGTTGCCTGAGAAAGCATTTGAACCCCTCCCTACCAATGGCATGGATAGCCCCTTCCCTAGGATAACCCATGCTCCCTACCCCTCTTGAGGCTACTTCCATTAGTTTGTCCAATAGGGAGCAGCACTGAAATGGTGCAGTAACCTAATATCTATACCAGTCTTTCTCAACCTTTTTTTAACACTGAGGAATCTTTGAACAAACTTTCAGGTGTTAGGGAATCTAAGAACGTACTATACCTGCCCAGGGTACATTAGCGTGAACAGTAAGCTGACAAAAAAAAAAGCAGAGAATAATGAATGCGCTCAACTTGACAACCACTCTGTATAATAAAATTATTTTCCATAATAACAATGGAATGAAAGTAACAGTAATATTGTCAGAAAAAGAAATACGGAGAGTGAAAATTGTATTGTTTCACTGGTGGTCAGTGTAAAAATGTCCCCTAACACTATTAGGCAGTGGAAAAGTATCCCGTTACACAGCTGGGAAGGGGCCCTGTATACTGATGATCAGTGAAGAGTTCCCTTACATTGGTGGTATGTTGAGGATGGCCCCTGTAGTTTGGTGATCAGTGAAGAGTTCCCTTTTATTGGTGGTACATTGAGGATGGTCCCTGTAGACTGATGATCAGTAAAGAGTTCCCTTACATTGGTGGTATGTTGAGGATGGCCCCTGTAGATTGGTGATCAGTGAAGAGTTCCCTTTTAGTGTTGGTACATTGAGGATGGCACCTGTAGACTGATGATCAGTGAAGAGTTCCCTTTTATTGGTGGTACATTGAGGATGGCCCCTGTAGACTGATGATCAGTGAAGAGTTTCCTTACATTGGTGATACATTGAGGATGGCCCCTGTAGATTTGTGGTCAGTGAAGAGTACCCTTACATTTAGTGGCACGTTGCAAAGGGCCGCCATAGATTGGTGGTCAGTGAAGAGTCTCCTTAAATTGGATGTCATTGAAGAGTCCCTTATATTGATGGCTAGTTGAGAAGGGCTTCTGTAAATCAGTGGTCAGTGAAGTGTCCCCTACATTGGTTGTCAGCGAGGTTTCCTTACACTGTGTTATGTTGAGAGGGGGCCCTGTAAATCGGTGGTCAGTGAAGAGTCCTCTTCACTGGCTAGTTTAGAAGGGTCTGTGAAAACTAAAGGTGATCCAAAGGTTGTCTTACATTGGTTGTCAGTAAAGAGTTATCTTACATTGGTGGTTAGCTGAGAAGGGCCCCCTGTGTTTTGATGCTCAGTGAAGAGTCCTCTTACATTGCTTGTCAGTGAAGAGTTCCCCATACATTGATGGTCAGTTGAGAAGGGCTCCTGTAGATTAGTGATCAGTGGAGAAGAACCTTCTTTAAATTGGTGCCCACTGGGAGCAGGCCCCTTTACACTGATAGTCATTAAGAGAAGGTCCCATTACACTGGTAGTCAATGGGAAGAATGCTCCTTACACTGGTAGTCAGTAGGAAGACTGCTGAGTGGGGAAGATTGATCCACCATACAAAATGCTAAAAGGAGCAATAGCATTTGATAACTTATCTAAGAGGCAGAAATAGCTCATTGATCAAAGAACTCTTAGCAACCTTTGGAGGAACCCTGATTAGGAAAGGCTGCTCTATACTAAAGCTGAACATATACTGACAGATTCCTTCACCCATGCTACACAGTGTGGATTGACAAATCTCCCGCTGCTGCCATTGTATTCTGACAGCCAGGGGCAGACTGACCATTTGGGAACTCGGGCACTGCCCGAGGGCCCTGGGTCAGTAGGGGGCCCCATGCGATGCCCCATGTACCTTTTTCATAGGCTTTTTTGAGTTTGGGCAAGGACACAGGGGCCCCATGATCCCCTATTGCCCGGGGGCCCCATGAGTTGTCAGTCCGCCCCTGCTGACAGCCACCTCCCTTCCCAAAATACCTGAACAGCACCTACATCTGGTTGGATGCAGCTGCTTTTTGGCTGACAGTTATTTGCTCAGTTGCTTCAATCCAAGGATGTCAAGTGGAATATGTGCCTGAAGTTCAAAAATAATGTTTCAAAAATATGTTTCTATGCTTGCTTTGTAATGATGTCCACTGGGACCTGTGTATATGTGTAGTACAAATGATGTGTTTATGCTCCTCTGACCTCTGTGCAAGTATATGGTCTACTCAGACTCACTGAAACAGTATTTTCTGCGCAAGTTATGTCAGCATTTGTTCAGCGAAAATGCTGACAATGCTGTTTGAAAAGCAAACAACTGCCAGAAAGAAGATCGTTACCTAATCATGACTCTATAAAACCAAGTGTGTAAAGTATTTGAAGTCGAATTTAAAAATGATCTTTAGGTAAATTTTACAATTACTTTTTAAATTAGAACTGCAGCCAGGCTGTGGACTTTCAAATATTTACATTTCCTTAACAAGTAGACTTTCAGCTCTCTAATTTCTAATGTGAACAAATAGCAGGTACAAATAAAGAGGGGAGAGAGCAGAGTGCTGAGACCCCACTTGTATTAATGGTTGTTAACCACCTCAAGTCTGGACACTTTCACCCCCTTCTTGTCCAGGCCAATATTCAGCTTTCAGCGCTATCAGACTTCGAATGACAATTGCGCGGTCATGCAACACTGTACCCAAATGATTTTTTTTTTTTTTTGAGACAGATAAAACTTTATTTTGGTGGTATTTATTCACCACTGGGATTTTTATTTTTCTTTGCTATATAAATGAAAAAGTCCAAACATTTTTAAAAAAAAGTGTTTTTTTCTTATAACATTTTGCAAATAAATAATTCTTCTTCATACATCTTGGCCAAAATGTATTCAGCTATCTTTTTAGTAAAAAAAGAAAAATAACCCAAATTAGTTTATAACCAAAAAGTATAATTCAAAAAACAATTTTGTTGTACATTTTTTTTTTTTTTAATATTATTATTTATTTATTTTTTTTAACATACCATCACCCTAGCAGTACTGTGTCACCATAGTGACGCTACTATTTGTGGGGGGTGATGAAGATTTTTTTTTTCTTTTTTTACACTGATTGCTTTTACACCCATAAAGGCTGTAAAAGCAATAATTTCTCCTTCTCTCTGTCTGCAGCCATTGAGAAATACTGTGCGAGTTGTGATTGGTCACAGCTTGTCACATAGTACAAGGCTGTTGTGAATAGCCTTGTACCATGTGACCTCTGTGATCATCACAGATTTCACAAGTAGTAAGCAATGATGTCAGGAAGTGACATTTTGCTTACTACTATTCATGTGATCACTGATTGGCCAATCAGGGATCACATGAATCGGGACCTCACACAGAGGTCCCATACAGTGATTGGACACAGTGGGCACCGGATCACGGTGCCACGCACTCCCAGGGAGCATGCACAGGCAGTTAATGGCCATTAATAAATGGCAACCCGCTTCGGCACTGCTCCCGCCTGGCTGTTTATGTACGTGGGCTAGACGGGAAGTGGTTAATTATATGTAAATCTTTGAATGTCCATAAACTGACAACACTTCTGATTGGATCCCCATTCACACTGTTTGTATGTATAAGCTCTTTTTTGTGCATTTTTCATGTTATTTTGCTTTGCTCATAGGGCAAGACCCCCCAACAGGGGTCCACTCCTGCCTGGACACTGGAATTTTTCCTTACACCAGCATGCTGCCAATTCCCCTTTGCTGCTCAGGCTCAGACTATTTAAGGGCTCTTCCCCTTTGGTGGAAGTTCCATGTTCCATAATATTCAGACTGCAACGTCTGCCCCCCCCCCCCCACTATGTTCTGGAAACCCCCAGATAGTTCCAGAATACAGGGGGAAGTAGCAAAGCAGCAGCCTGTGAAACTCTGAGCCAATATGTCCCTGTTCCACTGATTACAGTAGAGCAAAACTAAATGTATCTCACCCAGGAGGGTGCTACATCAGTGTAAAGCACAAGGTGCTGTCATTGGTAACATGTTAGTCCCTGTATGGCCAAAGTAAAGTAAGATACTTGCACTTCTATACAGAGTAGGATGCCAGCAGACTCTACCAATAAATTCTAGGTGGACTGAACCTTTAAAATTTGTTCTAACTTAAATAACAGTATCGGGGGTTCTAAAAGGAATTGGAAGTAATTCCCGAGACTAAAGATGTTCAGAGGTGGAAGGATCTGTGATTTTCCACTAAGCAAGCATTTAATGAGCTCGGTCAAAAACGTCAAGGCAAAAACCATCTGTTGTCAACTATGTTTGATCATGTCAAAGTGGTTTAGGCTACGCATTGTCTGTGGGAATTCTACTTAAAAAACTGAAGATTTATCACATTTTAGCAACTGCCAAGAGGGAAAAAGCTGAAGAACGCAAGAACCAGACTTTGCCTTGTGAATTTGAAGCACGGTTTAGGTTAATAAGCACATACACTTGCTGCATTTTTTTTTGCCTTTGATGATCCCACTGTCCTCAGGCATGAATTCCATGTACATGCCATGATTGTAAACATGTCTCCTGGGCTGAATTTCTATAGGGCATTACCAGGGACCTTAGGAATAGAGGGGGCTGCAGCAAGCCTTATAATGTACAAATTTTACTAACTATGGTAACTTTTTTCTTATTGAATCTTCCTAATCTGTCCACCTTTAAATATTTATGGCTACATTTAGCCAGAGAACTGTGAGGACTAAGGGATGATAAGAGGCATCATAAGACTATCTCTTCTTTCTTGTGTTTACTGGTCAGTACAATTGAAAAGCTGACCAAATGCTGCTTCCAATAGTGCTTTTCTAGCAGTAGTTTGTACCATGGTAATTACACTGGGACGTAGATACTGGTGTGGGGATAAGGGGTCCAACAACACCCCAAACCTCCTGAACCCTGCACTCTGAATGTTACTTACACCCAACACCTTACCCTCTGTGAATTAAACACCTGACCACTGCATTCTGCACATTAAATACACCTGACCCCAGGACTCCATATGTTTTTTGACCTCAGAAAATAGAAACAAAGATCTATGGGAAAGAAAATGTCTTTCTTCCTCCAGTCTTTGTGAATTAAACCCAGTTCATTTTATTGCTATTTATATTATTTATATTTTTGCAACAAAGTAAGCTGTTTGCTCACATTTACTCCTTGTTATTGGGGTACACTATAATTACTTTTAATAGAGGCATGTTTGAAAAAAAAAAACATGTAAATTGTGTACGTAGTTGTGTAAACCTAGCCATCTCACCTACAGTCAGGTCCATAAATATTGAGACATCAACACAATTCTAACATTTTTGGCTCTATACACCACCACAATTGACACACATACACCTACCTCCTGGAGAGTGTTCTTGATCTGGCCAACTGTTGTGAAGGGTGTTTTCTTCACCAGGGAAAGAATTCTTCGGTCATCCACCACAGTTGTTTTCCGTGGTCTTCCGGGTCTTTTGGTGTTGCTGATCTCACCGGTGCGTTCCTTCTTTTTAAGAATGTTCCAAACAGTTGTTTTGGCCACGCCTAATGTTTTTGCTATCTCTCTGATGGGTTTGTTTTCTTTTTTTCAGCCTAATGATGGCTTGCTTCACTGGATAGTGACAGCTCTGTGGATCTCATCTTGAGAGTTGACAGCAACAGATTCCAAATGCAAATAGCACACTTGAAATGAACTCTGGACCTTTTATCTGCTCATTGTAATTGGGATAATGAGGGAATAACACACACCTGGCCATGGAACAGCTGAGAAGCCAATTGTCCCATTACTTTTGGTCCCTTAACAAGTAGGAGGCACATATGCAAACTGTTGTAATTCCTACACCGTTCACCTGATTTGGATGTAAATACCCTCAAATTAAAGCTGACAGTCTGCAGTTAAAGCACATCTTGTTTGTTTCATTTCAAATCTATTGTGGTGGTGTATAGAGCCAAAAATGTTAGAATTGCGTCGATGTCCCAATATTTATGGACCTGACTGTATGTAGTACGAGCTTGATGGACTATTTGATATTGATATGGATACCTATCCTCTTCCCTTTCCTCTTGCAAATATAACAACCTTGATTCTGGGTCATTGAGCCAAAGATGTTTTGTAGAGTCAGATACTTGGATGAGAAGACCTAAATTGGTGTTCTGATTTATCTGAAGGATGTTCAGTAGAGTATTGTCAGGGTTCTGTGCAGGCCACTCAATTTATACCACATCAAGCTCATCAAATCATGTTTTTATGGAGCTGGCTTTGTGTCCAGGGGCACATGCCAATGCTGGAATAGAAAAGGGCTTCCTTAAACTAGTGTTGCCAAAAGGTTGGAAGTTGGCAATTGTCTAGCTATGTGTTTGCTTTGATGTATGTAGTTTTGGAATGGATGCTAAACATACTCATATACTGTAGATGTGATGGTTAAGTGTCCACAATCTCTTGACCATATAGTGTTGTTTCCCTTTACAGGTCGCTGAAGAACTGCTATTCACTGTATTGTTTGACCAATGGACCAAGTCTACAAATGTTACCCTGATCAGCTACTCTGTTCCACAGTTGAAGAAACAACTTGGCCTTATCAAGGGAAGATTACCCAACATGTTGAAAGATTGCCCTGTGCAATCACAAGAACTTTCAAATGCCTGGAAGTGCTGTTATCACTTCCTAGTAGGTCAAAATTGTCCTACCTCCCAACTGTCCCTCTTTTGGAACCAAACCCTTCCACCACTCTTTTCCAAGTTGTTTCTGGAATTGATGTACCATTGAAAGCTGAACTCTGAGTTACATAAAAACACCCTTGCAGTATTGTAGGTGTAGAGGTATTATATTATTCCTCACTCTGGCAGGCTTCAGCCTGTTCACCTGTTCCCTCTGATGCTTTGGGTTGTGCGCCAGCCCTCGCTGTCCTCAAGTACAATGTAGGGCTATTTATCCTGCATTGTACTTGATGACATAAGCATGTGAGAGGCTTTGGGAACCTGGTCACTCAAGGTGGAGAACGCTTTCTGGAGCTAGAAATAAGGTAATTATTACAGTGTATTCCTCTACCTCTAGACCCACTGATCGCCTCTATTATTCTTGAAAGGAAGTATAAAAAAGTAGTGGACCACTTAACTTGGGTTGTACCCTTTGCATACAAATTTTGTGCCAAAAATTTGTCCGTCTTTCTCATCCTTGAAACTTGGGAGGAATGTCTAAATATACACTTGTAATTCTCATGACATCTATGGCCAACCTATGGTCTGCAGCTTACTTGATTTGCTGTATTCTTAAATGCAGACTCAGAAATACTTTTTTAGGCATGTGTAGTGAAATTATTGCATTGTTGGGAAAAGGGAAAACCTGGCTGCAGAGATTTTCCAACACGGTGGGAGGTCTCTGCGAAAAAAAGGCATAAATATCATGCAATTGTTTTAGTTCATTTGTTCATCTCCGAATACTTTGTTGTCACTGCACTCCATTGTTTGCTAAAACTGGGCTCATATGTGTGGCTTATATGTGAAGGATGGGATGTCACCAGCATGTTTTGGGGCTACATAGGGACCCTACCTCAAGGCGACACAGTGATGAGTGTGAGAGCAGCCACTTTGCTGCCTTGAGAAAGGGACCCCTAAATCTTGGGTTACACAAGACACATGCGACTTTGCACTTACAAAAGTGTATAGTAATTGTATTGGAGAGCTGGTGGTGTCTCGTCTTTTATTGTGGTCTATCCAGAGTCATCTGCTAGTGTCACTACAAGCAGTCATCTGTCACCAAGGTCAAACACTGTAAGGTGTGCAGTCCATACTTTTGCTGTCTAAAAAGCTAGTACTGAATTTATTATTGTTGTTTTAAAGGAGAGAAGTCTGAAATTCACGCTACATGCCACAGAACAGCAACATCAGAAACAGCTTGAAGCATTGTCAGCCATCATTGCAGACTTAGAACAGGAGCTGCAGGAGGTCAGAGCTGGGGTTAGGACTCAGATACAAAAGCACCAGCTGCTTCTCAACACCAACATGAAGCTCGAGCATGAAATCTCTGCATACCGCAGATTGCTGGAAAGTGAAGAGATCAGGTAGGTCAAAGAAACCATAATCCATCAGTTATCAGGGAATTACAACAATGGGGAATAGTCCTGGAACCCACAAAGTACACACTTGCCCAACAGGTAAACCTATGAATAAAATATAGAGCAAAGGATAAATAGTGGGGTTCCATTACACTAGTTTGGTAGAGTCTTCTAACCCAGCTGTGCTTTCATGTAGCTGGTGTTGATGTGCTACTGCTCTTGGACCCCAAAAACAATTCCAGAGACCCCCAGTCATGATCCTCATTCAAAAGTTGCATAGACAGGAGTAATAGCCTAGAGGGCATTTGACCACTCAAAATAATATATGTTGAGCTGGTGGCATAGAGTGATCATTCAGATCTCAATCAGAGGGGGACCTGAAGTCGGTGACAGCTTCTTGGAAGGGAGGAGATTGGGGGTGTTCAGATCAAGCTCCTCCTACCCAAGAAGCTGTCACCGACTTCAGGTCTCCCCAAGATGTCTTGGGCTCACAGGAAATGGGATGAATGATGCTGGGCATCACTCATGGTATGAACACATGTAATTACCGCTTGTTTTGATCTGCAGGTTATATGGCACTAAACAAATCCAGGAACCCAAATCATCTACAAGCAAAATAAGTTTTACCTTACCTTCAGGTGAGATTCTAGTATAACTTATTCTTTTTAGCATCTCGAACTACAGGCGTACCTTGGTTTACAAATGCCTTGGTTAACGTAATTTTTGGTTTACGAATAAACCATTGAAAATAATGCTTCGGTTTACAAATTTTTTTTTTTCGCAATACGAATGGATTAATTGGTTTTCAATGCATTTACGAATTGTTTTTTAATCATGTCCCTGTACAGTATTTATGCCTTTAAAGTGCACTTGATAAAGAGTTCTGAACAGATAAAAGACTTTTTTTCTACTTTTTTCTGACCTCCGGAATGGATTAATTGTTTTCCAATGCATTCCTATGGGAAACCGCTTTTCAGTTTACGAATGTTTCACAATACGAAAAGTCCCGCAGAACGTATTAAATTTGTAAACCGAGGTACGCCTATATATTAAATGTTTAGGCTTCATGCACACCTCATACAGCACTGGAGGGGCAGAACAGAGAGCTGGTGACTGACAGTCGCCAGCTCTGTGCAGCCTGAAGACCAACAGCTGAGCGATCAGCGATGTTCGAACACTCAGTTCTCCGTCTGGAACTGGCGGGGAATAGATGCAGCATTGGACCATTGCTGCATCCAGCTAGGTGGGTATAATTTTTTGTCTGTCACGAATCACACACTTCTCTTTTAATATTCTGGCCTATGAAATGAATAAACTCCTGAAAGCGTCTGTACGCACCTAAACATGCTTTAAAAACAGGACTTTAGGCTCTTTTCAGGAGAAAAGCATTCAGAAGCGCCTAGTATGCATGAGGCCTTAATGTGTATGTTCAGCCAAAACGTTTTTCTCAGCTTTGGATAGAGTGAAGAAGGTTAAAGTGTTACTAAAGCCAGGACCCTTCATTCACTGTATCCAGTCTTCCACAGTACACAGAACATGGAAATGCAATTATTTTAGTAAATATAAATTGCTAATTACCCTTTCTCAACAGCAGTTAGAGAAGTCTTGGGACTTCTATCAGTGTCCGGCCAAGCACTGGTTAATCTTGTAGGAGTTTTCCTTCTCCTCTGACAGTCCTATGAGGCTGCATGACCCCTGGTCCTCTGTCTGGCCAGCGCTGAATGGCCCTGTGCTGATTGGATGCACTCTCCCAAGAAAAGAAAAACAAACTTTCTAGCAATACACACCAAACAGAGCATTTACAGACTTGCCACTGCTGCTCCTGTGCTATGGCAGGTGGATTGGGGACAGCAAAAAAGGCAGGATCAGAGAAGACAGGATCAAACAGCTTTTTTACACAATGTGGAAGATTAACCCCTTTGGTTCCACAGTGAGTATAACAAGCATGCTTTACTGCTTATACAGACTGATTTTTGTTGTGGGTTTAGTGACACTTTAAGAACCCTTTTGGGTTTTTACTGCTATCTGTGGCTCAGTTGAAAAGATCTACCCTCACTTCCTGTCCTGCTGACAACATTTTACCATAAAGGAAATGCTGGACAAATGGCTATGTGTTTTATTTTTAGTGATAAAGTGTTGACACAAAAAGGCGTGTATGTGACCAATGGCTAAATGTATAATGTTTATATTGCTGCAGGATCTATAGAAAAAAATACAGAGGTCTGTACAGAAGCTACAAAAAAACAGCTGCTCTTCAATGGTAATATAGCAGAGGAGGGTGCAGAGGCCAGCGGCACAGTACAGTAAGTATTGCAAGCTATGAATTAAGCAATGATTGAATACATGGGCAATTTAGCTCTGGGATATGATCAAGTATTGGTGAGCAATGCTATGTTGGCAACAGGGGCAGACTGACAACTCATGGGGCCCCCGGGCAATAGGGGATCATGGGGCCCCTGTGTCCTTGCTCAAACTCAAAAAAGCCTATGAAAAAGGGTACCAGGGGCATCTCATGGGGCCCCCTACTGACCCAGGGCCCTTGGGCAGTGCCCGAGTTTCCGAATGATCAGTCCGCCCCTGGTTGGCAATCCACACACGTGTTTTAATGCTTTTTGGTTTGCGGTAAACATCTCAGTTTAATTCATCCCCATCTACTGGATACACTGGATTAAAATTATAAATTTAGCCATTCTGAATACAGTATGGGAGGATTAGAACCCCAGTCAAGTTTTATTGCTGCCTGTGTCCCTGGTAGGTAGTTTCTGACTATTTTTCCCACATAGAAGAAAAATATATTTGAAATATATTTTAAAAATATTCTTCCCAAATATAGTGACATACATTTGAAATTCTACAATTTTGGCCATATTCAATATATTTAAAAAAAAATATATATAATATATATATATATACATATATATATATATATATATATATATATATATATATATATATATATATACACACACAGTGAGGAACAGAAGTATTTGAACACCCTGCGATTTTGCAAGTTCTCCCACTTAGAAATCATGGAGGGGTCTGACATTCACATTGTAGGTGCATTCCCACTCTGAGTGACAGAATTTAAAGAAAAAATTCAGGAAATCACATTGTATGATTTTTAAAGAATTTATTTGTCTTGCACTGCTGAACATAAGTATTTGAACACCTGAGAAAATCAGTGTTAATATTTGGTACAGAAGCCTTTGTTTGCAATTACAGAGGTCAAACATTTCCTGTAGTTCTTGACCAGGTTTGCACACACTGCAACAGGGATTTTGGCCCACTCCTCCACACAGATCTTCTCTAGATCTGTCAGGTTTCGGGGCTGTCGCTGAGTAACATGGAGTTTGAGCTCCCTTCAAAGATGTTCTATTGGATTTAGGTCTGGAGACTGGCTAGGCCACTCGGGAACCTTGATATGCTTCTTACGGAGCCACTCCTTGGTTATCCTGGCTGTGTGCTTCGGGTCGTTGTCATGTTGGAAGACCCAGCCATGACCCATCTTCAATGTTCTGACTAAGGGAAGGAGGTTGTTGCTCAAAATCTCACAATAAATGGCCCCATTCATCCTCTCCTTAATACAGTGAAGTCGTCCTGTCCCCTTCACAGAAAAGCACCCCCAAAGCATGATGTTACCACCCCCATGCTTCACAGTAGGGATGGTGTTTTTGGGAAGTAACTCATCCTTCTTTTTCCTCCAAAGACGAGGAGTGAAGTTTAGACCAAAAAGTTCTACTTTGGTCTCATCTGACCACATGACTTTCTCCCATGCCTCCTCTGGATCATCCAGATGGTCATTGGCAAACTTCAGACGGGCCTGGACATGTGATGACTTGAGCTGGGGAACCTTCCGTGCACTGCATGATTTGAAACAATGACGGCATAGTGTTCTACCGACAGTGACCTTTGAAACTGTGGTCCCAGCTTTCTTCATGTCATTGACCAACTCCTCCCTTGTAGTTCTGGGCTGATTCCTCACCTTTCTTATCATCAGTGTTACCCCACGAGGTGAGATCTTGCATGGAGCCCCAGTCTGAGGGAGACTGATGGTCGTGTTTAGCCTCTTCCATTTTCTAATAATTGCTCCAACAGTTGATCTATTTTCACCAAGCTGCTTGGCAATTGCCCCATAGCCCTTTCCAGCCTTGTGGAGGTCCACAATTTTGTCTCTGGTGTCTTTTGACAGCTCTTAGTCTTGCCCATGGTAGTAGTTGGCGTCTGACTGACTGTGGGGTGGACAGGTGTCTTTAAAGAGCTCAGACAGGTGCTACTAAGTTAAATTAATGAGTGGAGTAGAGGTGGACTTTTTAAAGGCACAGTAACAGGTCTTTGAGAGCCAGAATTCTTGCTGTTTCTTAGGTGTTCAAATACTTATGTTCAGCAGTGCAAGACAAATAAATTCTTTAAAAATCATACAATGTGATTTCCTGAATTTTTTTTTTTAATTCTGTCTCTCAGAGTGGGAATGCACCTACAATGTGAATTTCAGACCCCTCCATGATTTCTAAGTGGGAGAATTTGCAAAATCGCAGGGTGTTCAAATACTTCTGTTCCTCACTGTATATACTGCATGTTGAAATGCATTTGTTATATATTACAAATTATATGAAAAATATTTTTAAAAATATATATTTTTTAAATATATTCTTCAGTTTTCTTTTTAACATATACTGCATGTTGATATGCGTATTTATTACAAAATATATGAAAAATATTTTTAAAAATACATTTCAAATATACTGTCTTTATATTTTTATTTTTAAAAATATATATTTTTTAAATATATTCTTCAGATTTTTTTTAACATATAAAAAAGTCATTTTAAACATATACGTTTACATATATTTGTAAATGCATTCCAAAAATGTAGATTTGTATTTTTAAAGACATACATTATATTTGAAATGTATTTTTACAAATATTTTTCATATATTTTGTAATAAAAACGCATTTCAAAGTGCAGTGTATGTATATATATATATATATATAGATAGAAATATATTTTGAAATATATTGAATATGGCCAAAATTGTAGCATTTCAAATATATGTCAATATATTTGGGAAGAATATTTTTAAAATACCGTATTTTTCGCTCCATAAGACGCACCTGACCATAAGACGCACCTAGGTTTTAGAGGCAGAAAACAGGAAAAAAAATTCTGAACTAATGGACTGCAGACATAGTACAGGAGATGACCAGAGACTGCGGACACAGTACAGGGATGACCAGAGACTGCGGACACAGTACAGGGATGACCAGAGACTGCGGACAGCACAGGGATGACCAGAGACTGCGGACAGCACAGGGATGACCAGAGACTGCAGACACAGTACAGGGATGACCAGAGACTGCGGACAGTACAGGGATGACCAGAGACTGCGGACACAATACAGGAGATGACCAGAGACTGCGGACAGCACAGGGATGACCAGAGACTGCGGACAGCACAGGGATGACCAGAGACTGCGGACAGCACAGGGATGACCAGAGACTGTGGATAGTACAGGGGATGACTGCTGACCTTTGAGGAGGGGGGGGAGCGGGTACCTGAATTTGACAGATACCCGCTCCCACTTCCGCGGAGTTGTTCTTTCATCTTACCTGTATCCTCTATCCAGCCTCGCGCTGTCTTCCCGGCTTCTGTAATGGCGCTCAGCATGACAGTCGGGTGCCCAGTGCGCATGAGCGAGAAGCACTTGCGCTTTGTGATTGGTCCGGCGGCTTCTGGGATCTGTCATGTGTCCCAGGTGCCGCCTTACCATTCACAAAAAGCACCGCTTCCTGCGCATGCGCACTTGGCACCCGGCTGTCATGCCCACACTACAAAAGCCGGGAAGACCGCGCCGCTGGATAGAGGAACAGGTAAGATGAAAGAACAACTCCACAGAAGTGGGAGCGGGTACCTGTCAAATTCAGGTACCCGCTCCCCCTCCCTCCCCAAAGGTCAGCAGTCATCTCTATAAGGTCCCACTGTAGAGCTGAGCGGCCGGCCCGGTATTCTGACACGGCGGCAGTGGAAATACCGGACCGGCCGCTCCATGTTCGCTCCATAAGACGCACTGACATTTTCCCCTCTTTTTTGGGGGGAAAAAAGTGCGTCTTATGGAGCGAAAAATACGGTATGTTTCAAATATATTTTTCTTCCATATGGGTTACCAGGACAAAAAATGCCAGGAAATCCAAATTTGTAGGCTGCATTCACACCAAGGTGTTTATGGAATGCAGGACAAAGCCACAGAAAATGTGTGTTTTTTGCGCATTTCAGAAACATACTACAAATGCACTGACAGCACCAGCACCTGACCACTTTGACCAGTTGATATCTAATTTGTTCTGTAAGCCCAACAGAAAGAAGAGGAAGAAGAACAAGGATCTCAAATCCCCAGATCGCTACACTGGCTGCTAGTACAGTGGGGACCAGGGATGGGGGACAAAGTGGGTAGGTGTAGGTAGTGGAGATAAAGACAGCTGCACATACACAAATGAGAAAGATATTGACTGGAGAGAGCACAACTATCTGGCAAACAGGAGGTGCAAAGGCATGGCTTAAATAGGAAGTTCATGGGAGGAGAAAGTAGTTCAAGGTTCACCAGAAACAAGGTGCTAGGCGAGATTATCCAAGGGTTCAGGCAGGATGATACTGTCCAGTGGCTCAGCAAGGAGAGCAACTGCAGAGGTCATGGCTTCAGATCCTGGTCCTGACAGGCAAAGACCAAGGAATGGCCATTAAATTAGGAGCAAAAGATGGGTACAAAATGCAATGAATAGGCTGAATCGCAGAAAAAGTAGGGAGGGAGCATGGGTAGGAGGTTAGAAGTAGGGAGAGGTGAATTCCCCTTGGGCCTAACCCAGTCAAGGGAACCAGAATTTAGCAGACCATTTATATGAAGTCTTCTTTAACTTTCAGCTTTTACATTTTACAAGATTACAAATAAGTGACTAGAACCAATGTTTATATACTAACATATCTTGCCTTTTACAGAACAGAGAAGGTGGATCAAGTGATCAAACAGTGGGAAGGTTCCTTCTTCAAAGACAATCCAAAACTAAGGAAGAAATCCGTATCCTTAAGATTTGACCTCCATCTGGCAGCTGCAGACGAAGCGTGTGCCCAAACCAAACAGGACAATATACCCGATATAGAGGTTCGACTAATCATGAGGCGATCATGTAGTATTCCCTCCATGAGTCCATGAACTTTCAGCCAACCATTCCAAAGACTAGTAGGGACATCCTGAATGTTATAGGGGTGCATTAGTAACACTTGTAGTACCATGGCAGCCATATGAATCTATGTAACAGTTATGTGGAAACTTTGAAACCAAATTCACGTACAAGTGTTACTTTTTATATCATTAGTCTGTATATATATATATATTTATTGAGCGAAATAGCAGTAGGTGCAAAGAAGTATGCTTTACCTTTTCAAGCCCTCATGTAGGATTAATCACGGTCCTGTCTACTTCTTATTCTTCGTTACGTGTACTCAAAAGCCAAATTCGGCTTCCTGGCAGCCCTCCCAGCAAATTGGTAAGATAATGAATACAACTTTAGGTGGCCTATTTAAAGAGCAGATCCAGGGAACAAATGAAACCAATTAAAAATCAGTTGATGTTAATCAACAAACATTGTAAATGTCAGAATGGGCCAAGCACAGGTTCGATTTACTCACCCTCTTGCTTTATCGCTGTCTTCTGCTTTTTCATTCATCCAGCACATCTGGTATCTTCGATTGAAAGATGGCCATCTGGAGTTTGGCTTTAAGGCCCAACTTTGGGAAATCAGAACATTTACAGAGCGGAGTCTGCCCACGCACTTCAAGGGTTAACTGCTTAACCTTCAAGTCTAGGGTAAGTCTAGGGTAAGTGTCCCTAGACACTAAAAGAATTTTACTTACCCGATTCTCCACTCCCCCAGCAGACAGCACTGTCCCATGTTCCAACGGTGGACTGTCCCTCGGCATCATCATGTCTAGTGCATGATGACCACTGGAGCATGGGAGAGAAGATGCTGCAGAGACTGGTTTAGCAGCTCAGAGGAGTGGAGGATTGAGTAAGTAAATCTTCTTTTCCATGTCCCCTAGACCTAAACGAACAGCTATCTTTGCGCAGCCCCACTGCAGGGAGCAATTTTCAGGTTTCCCAGAGTTGGGCAGTAAGCCAAACATGGATGCAGAGCCAGGAGAAAGCGTGGGCAGGAGGGACAGCCACCCAGGGCACAGTGATAGGGGTGGCATCCCTTCACCACACCAAGCTGTAGATCAGTGGCTAGCAACCAGTGGCCCACAGCTTCATGTCTGCTCTGACAGCTGTCACACTGCGCTCCAACATGCCCACTGTTCACCAAACCGCCTTCAGCTGACACAAAAGCACACCATGCACATGCAACCACCTATCTGCTAGAAATCAAGAAATTGGCCACACATTTGCGGCGCATACTCCATGCCAACCACGAGCAGACAGAGCAAGGAGGCAGAGAATTGGGAGCAGGGCAGTATACCCATTGTATACCATGCTGCACCCATCCTTGTTCTGGGTGCTGGACGACCCTGTCCCGACACTGCAAGAAGGCTTCAATACCAGGGGAGGACTGACCAGTCGAGCACTCGGGCAATACCAGTCCCATGAAATGCCCCTGGTATCTTTTATAGGCTTTTTTAGGTGTGCTTTGAGTGTGGGCAAGGACACAGGGGCCCCATGATCCCCTATTGCCCGGGGGCCCCATGAGTTGTCAGTCCACCCCTGATCAATACTATGCAAAATCTTCTAAGACACAATTAATGTAGCAGAGGTGGGACCACACTGTCCACAAACAGTACAAGTGTGTACTCCTATTATTTTCCTCTTCATCTAGAGATGTGCCTGAAATACATAAGGGTCTATGTATAAAAAAAGGGTCTATGTATAAAAAGTTTGCTGAATGAATGTGTCAAACATCTACACAGCTCCAGCGAAACTTTCCGCATTCTGTAATATAATTATCTCCTATGATCATCAGCACCATCTAATGGCCATAATCTGTTTTTTTTTTTTTTCATTTTTCCCCAATAAGGTATTTAACCGCTTCCTGTCGCCCTATAGTAGAACTACTGCTACAGAGTGGCAGGGCTGTGCAAAATCACGTGCATGATATGCATTTACGGGTAGGGGGTGCGCGCATACTACCCTACCTGCGCCACCATTGCAGGCTGCAGATGTCAATCACCGGGTCCCAGCTGGAGATTCCCCTCCGGCACCCGGTGATCACCGAGTAACACTGACTATAAACAACGTAAACAACATAGGTCTCTCTCCTGCCAGAAAGAACATGTTGCTGTGTATTTTTCTGCACAGCAGAGAAATACACAGCAGCATGTTTCCCTAGTAAAACACAACACACAGCACATAATGTAAAACACACACAGCACACAGTTGACCCTTTGATCGCCACCAGATGTTAACCCCTTCCTGCCCAGTGTTATTAATACAGTCTCAGTACTTTTTATTAGCACTGATCACTGTATTAGTGTCATTGGGATGTCAGTCAGTAGCAGTTAGTTCCCACCCAGTGTCAGAATACCCGCTGCAGTCCTGCTGTAAGTTGCTGATCGTTACCATTACTAGTATATAAAAAAAAATAATTCCATGTGTGTGTAGTATATATATATATATATATATATATATATATATATACATATACACACACACATACACACACATACACCGTATATATATATATACCGCAATTTGCAGGCCTATAACTTTCATGTAAACCAATTAATTTACACATATTGGGATTGTTTTTTTTAGCAAAGACATGTATCAGAATACATTTTGGCCTAAATTTATGACAAAATTTTTTTTTTTTACATTTTTTTAGCAAAAAATACCCAAAATTGTTTTCAAAATTGACAGTCTTTTTTTGTTTATAGCACAAACAATTGAAAATGCATAGGCGATCAAATACCACCGAAAGAAAGCTCTATTTATGTGAAAAAAAAGAAAATAAATGCCATTTATGTACAGCGTTGCATGACCACGCAATTGTCAGTTAAAATAACGCAGCTTCGTATAGCAAAAAATGGCCTGGTTAGGAAGGGGGGTAAATCCTCTGGAGAGCATTATGGCAACGTAGATGGCACTTATGATCAGACAAGAGAAAAACTAATTCCCAAGGTATGAACTATTTGAAAGCAGGGAATAAAAAAGGAAATGATTAACCATTTTGACATTACTTTATAGAAAAATCGCATTGACCCCATTCACCCTTGTGTGACTTGTCATGCAACTTTGGACATCAAGTTGTACCCCATATGTTCCAAAGATATCCATTCATATTCCAAAGATATCCATTCATATATGTGTGACTTAAAGTTGTAGCGACTTCAGAGTAGTTCATGCACTACTTTGGTCCGACTTTCATTCAACTTGAGGACCACAGACTTCAACATCAAAAGTTGCATGAAAGTCGTAAATGAGTGTTTTACATGCAACAGTGGTGCAACAGTAAGTCCGACTTTGGAGTGAGGCAAGTCACATCCAAGTCTTACCTATCCAAAGCTGCGTCACAGTTGCATCAAAGTTGAATCAAAGGTGCAACTTTGGAGTCGTACAAGTGTGAATGGAGCCTAAGTGTTTTGAGTTTAAATAGAGTTTAACTGTAATTGTATAGGAAATGTAGAATATGTAATTTGAAGGTATATTGCTTCTCTAAATAGAACCTCTTACTTTAGCTATGCAATCATATACAGGGTTTATTAAAAACACAAACACTTAGGAGTCTATTTTTAAAACATGCGTTTAGTGAATGTCAAAAAAATTGACAACAAAATGTCCCACATTTTTGCTACATATTAATGCCTTTATCTTCATCTCCATCTAGTGGGTAAAATGTGGTATAGTTATCTTAAATGCCTCAATGAGAAATCTATCCCAGTACAGGCGTACCTTGGTTTACAAATTTAATGCGTTCTGCGGGACATTTTGTATTGCAAAAAATTCGTAAACCGAAATGTGATTTCCTATAGGAATGCATTGAAAGCCAATTAATCCGTTCTGGAGGTCAGAAAAAAGTTTAAAAAAAAAGTTTTTTTTATCTGTTCAAAACTCTTTATAAAGTGCACTTTAAAGGCATAAATACTGTACAGGGACATGATTAAAAATTAATTCGTAAATTCACTGAAAACCAATTAATCCATTCGTATTGCGAAACAAATTCGTAAATGCATTGAAAACCAATTAATCCGTTCTGGAGGTCAGAAAAAAGTAAAAAAAAGTGTTATCTGTTCAAAACTCTTTATAAAGTGCACTTTAAAGGCATAAATACTGTACAGGGATAATTCGTAAACTGAGGCATTATTTTAATGGATTTTAGTTCATAAACCGAAAATTACGTTAACTGAAGCGTTCGTGAACCAAGGTACGCCTGTACTACTGAACAAATGGAAATTGAAAATGAAAATCCATCCAAAATGTTTTTCTTTTTCTTTGAACCTTATTAGTTTTCACTACATCCTTTAGTTTAGAAATTCCACTACCGTTATGTACCAAAGATGTATTTTATTTCAAATTCTTCAATCAACTCTGCGCTGTCTTCTACTAAAAACAATAGAAGCAGTCCAAATCGGTTGATACCTGGGTTGCTGTGTACCTTTCTACAGACACACGTACCCCAATTCTGCACCCTACTCTGTGAGTACCCCACAGGGAAACACCCTCACTAACAACAATGGCAGAAACCAGAGAAGCACAGCAAAAACCCAGGGAAACATTTGCTCTGTTGAAGGCCTGCAAATCACTCAAACCGCTCAAAGTAGTGATACTTCCCTTGCAGCGAAGTAGGACCCTATGCTAAGACCGGTCTCTGCATTTGATTCTAGGTCTAGCTACGGCATGCAACAAGGAGCCTACCTGACCAAGGCAGATTTTTTTGCAACTATGTCAGACTTTCTTGGATAACTATCGGCTTTAATAAAAAATATTCTGCTGACAGAAAATTTGAGAAGCTCTTAACAGTTCTCTTTAATTTTGCAGGCCCAGGTCTGCAGCTGGCTACTGCTGCAATTTCTGTTTGTCAAATGGCAGATAATTGAACTAGGGGAATGAAAAAAGCCACAGGATCCTGTATTCCAGGGCCGAACTTTGGCACATACTAACACTTCCCTTCATTATACTTTTTTGTGTGTTGATGCCCGAGAATGAATCATGACCCAAATCTC